GTAAGTCCAAACCACTGGCGTAGATTTTGCAGCCATGAGTGTCTTCTCCTTCCTGGTCCTCTTTTACTGTTGATCCTTCCTTGAGCTATTAACTGGAATAGACGATATTTTTGATGTCTCATTATGTGTCCGAGGTATTCCAGTTTCCTCCTTTATCTGTGAGTGTAATTTCTCTCTCATTCCCTATTTTCCCACCTCTTTATTAGTTATGTGGTCAGTTCACGATATTCTGATGATACGGCGGTATATCCACATTTCAAAAGCGTTTAATTTTTTCATTATGGCTTCCATTGTTGTCCATGCTTCTGCTCCGTAGAGCAGAATTGGGAACACATAGCACTTTGTCAACCTTATTTTTAGAGGCAGGGATAGATCCCTGCTTGTGAGTATACCCTTCATGTTGTTGAACGATGCTCGACCTCTTTCAATCCTTAATCGGATTTCGGTGGCCTGGTCCCATCTTGCATTGATCAGCGTACCAAGGTACTTGTATGACTCCACACGTTCGATCGTCTGGTCGTATAGTGTAATGCGCTCATTGTGTGTCTGATCTTTGCTCACCACCATCCACTTTGTTTATGATATATTCAGGCTAAGACCGTGGTCTGCACGCACTTTCTGTATTCTTTCCAGGACGCGCTGCAATTCGTCTATGTTGTTGGCTAGTATGACCGTATCATCAGCATATCGCACATTGTTAATCCACTCTCCGTTTATCTGTATACCCTCTGTTGTTGCCTCCTCGAACGCTTTTCCAAATACGTTTTCCGAGTATATATTGAAGAGGAGCGGAGACAGGATGCAGGCCTGCCTCACTCCTTTTTTTATTTCTATTTTATCAGAATACCGGTTGTTCAGCTTTATCTTAGCGGTTTGTCCCCAATACATGTTTGCTATTATGCGGATATCTTTATTATCGATGCCGGTATTTTCGATGATCTTTAGTAATAGCTTATGGTCTACGCGGTCATGAGGCTGATGAGTCCATGTTGATCACAGGTTTTTGCGTTTTGTTGTTTCGGCACTGCGATGAAGGTTGATTCAAGCCATTCTTTGGGTATTTAGCCTCTATTATAGATATCATTAAATAGACTCGTGAGGATATCGAGAAATTGATTATCAGTTTCACACATAAGTTTTAGTATTTCTACTTGAATGCTATCAGGTCTAGGAGCTTTGTCGTTCTTGAGAGATAGAATAGCTTTTCAGTTTCGGATTTCATAATTGGGGGTCCCGTATCTATCCCATTCATATTGTGTTCTTTAGACCGTTCCGAAGCAAAGAGGAGTTCGACATATGATTTCCATACCTCTAGACATTTTGATGGTTCCGAAATAATATTATCGTTTGTGTCCAGTATGAACGTATATCTGTTGTTTATTTTCTTTGTTGTCATTTCTCTTATTTTCTTATGCATATTGCGGTAGTCGTACTTCACTTCATATTGTTCTATCTTGTCACATTTTTCAGAGAACCATTCTTCCTTTGCCTCTCTAATGTTTTTCCTTATGTTTTTGTCAATTTCACCGTACTTTGTGTTGTTTTTACCTTTGCGTTTCCGTTTTTCGTCCAACATGTCGAGGATCTCTTGTGTCATCCACTCTTGTTTTTTGTTTTTTTATCCTTTTACAAATATTTTT